CAAACAATACTCGAAGTGTCTACACAGACAGCTATTTAGTAAGTAAACTGTCACTTGTCAATCCATACTCATCGAATTTTCAAAACTTTAATATATATTGTAATCGTATGAAGCAAAAGTTCTTGTCACTTGTTGTTTACATTTGCCAATGTTATTAACTGTTGAGTAACATACACAAACTAATCGAGGAATATGCATTACTGTAGCAAAGAGTCAATCATATATCGAAGACCACTGAATAGTAGAAAATGTTTTGAAGGTCATGGATGAAGTATATAATTCAATTCCAATCCTTGTGCACAGTTAATGATAAGTATGATATATACCGCCACACTGTTCGGTTTAACTCATGCAGCATATCCACACAAAAACAATTTGTGTTGTGGGAGAATATCTGTTTGAGTAGAAGGTATCACAAGTTTAGTTTTGTATATTGTGTGCCATTGATCTGATCCATCCATATAATATATGATTATTGTAGCTGTTAAGTTATTTTCCATACTAATGAATTTAGGTAAGATTGTCTTGCAAGTGGGTTGTTCTGACAAAATTATCCAGCCAATATCCAGTACATTTATAGTACATAGTGATGCATTCATCATTCTTGTATTAATCTCTAAACAAAAACATTTATATTAGAAAGCAAAATGACAATGTAATGAGGAGGGAGGGTGGGGATTCTTTTATTAGCATTGAAAATGGTTGTAACAATTTTGTTTAATTAACTCTAATGTGTATTAAAAACCAAAATGTATAAGTATAATTTTAACTGATGACATCTTTACCTTTGCTCTATTAAACACTAGTTACACTACATTTGATGACAACTTAGTTGGACTGTTGTTTTAAACAGAGTTACAGAAAATTATACAGGACCAGGATCTGAGAGCATCAGTTTCTTTTGATATTGTTAATTGGCAATATAATGCCTCATGCCTGCAGCCAGAGTTTTGACTGTTTACATGTAAAATATTACACACTGGTTGTTTTTATACTGTATAAATGTATACTAGGGAGATGCTAAGCATCATGGGGCGAGCCAGAGCAATGATATCCAGCACCTATCATGCAACAATGATTACTAATGTCAACAAATGTCAACCTTTCTTGTTTCCGCGCTTTTAATTAATTAAACTGCATTGGCATTGCAATATTAATAGTTTCGAAATTTCAAAGGCAAAACTCGTAGTATTATAAATGTTGGGAATTGTATTTCTATCCGTGTATTATGTTTGATATTTTGTTCAAAGGCAAAACTCGTAGTATTAATGTTGGGAATTGTATTTCTATCCATGTATAAGCTATAGCCTGTTCTAAACGTCGCATTTTACATGTGCCGAATGCATTCAAAACATTAGATAATCAGCTGAAATCATTATCCATTGTTTAATGCATTCGTGATTCGGCGCATGTAAAATGCGACGTTTAGAACAGGCTTTATATTTTATATTTTGTTAAAACATTAAACACGTTATTGAAATCACAATCTTTTCAATCTTTCATGCATGAAATAAATAATATAGAAATGGCTGAATGCAGGGTTTTTGGCAAGCGCGCTAAAAATAGCAGATGCATACATGGCACTGCATGTAAGGCCAATGAAAATTGATATCATGTTTCTCGTGCACAATTTTCAAAAATTTGGAGCGGGATTTTTTCATTTTTCATTATTTTTTGTATTTGAATTCTGCTTGTCAATAATTTCCTTGACCCAGTAAAAAAACCCCATAAAAATCTGAAGTACATCGGTCTCTAATTCATTTTAATTTAATGACTTTAATACCAGGGCTGACATGAAAAATAGAGGCTCTCTGGCGAGTAATATCTTTAGAAAGATACAATTTGAGTTGCGCTTGCGGAATGCAGCAATAAAACTTTGATCTGGAGATCAATTTGGTGTTTTGTTAAATAATGAATAATGAAACATTTTCGTGCGGCAGATAAATCCCATGCGGGCGGGGACAAGAAACATGATATCAATTTTCATTGGCCTAAACATTTAATATTAATACATATAGAGCCAGATTGCAAAAACTTGCAAATAAGGTCTTTTTTCATAGTCTTGAGAAGAATAACAGAATTACAGAATATTCAACCCAAATCAAATCGAAATCGGGCTTGGCATCAGAATTTGATCCGCAACTCACTCAGAAATCGAGTAACTGTAAAACCGCAACTCATGCACTCAGAAATCGAGTAAAGTAAAATTGCGATGCCGATGGGCTTAACAATACTGACCACTGTAAGTAATACTGACCATTCCAATTTCCATTTGTTATTTGGCATGAAGAATATATATTTCATTGCAGGTCGCATTGTCGCATGAAAAATTGTCAGCCGGTGAGAGGCGAAAGGCCCGTAAAATTTACTGTAAATCACTGTAGGACTGAAAGTTCTCAAAATAGCCGGTGTGAGGCGAAAAGCCGGTAGGATTTAAATCACTGTACCAAAAGTTCCGTGTACGTACGTACAACCGACCATCATGCATTGCGCTTGAGCTCGATGAGCCACCAAACTGTGCGGCTCGCTCAGGCTCGCCCCAATAATAAAATATGTGGTATTTGACTACTCACCAGATGAGGATAAGTTTCCATGTTGATAGATAACTTCGGAATAAAATCACAAGTAGAATGGTGAAAACAAGACAGCCAATTCAAGATAAAATCAAGATATTTTTGAAGCCAAAATATGGCAAAGAATAACAGGACTTACACGAGGCCAAACTACACCCGTTCGCAGGTTAGGTGCGAGCACGATGTAAACAATTGATCAACCTCGTGACAAAAAGGGAAAAGCCCTGGAGGCTACTCCATTTACTGTTCGGAGTACTCCGGATTTTCGGAACACTAATTGAATCGAACCGAAAACGGTCACATGACTGTTCTTACTGCTCCTACTCAAAAGTAGGGGCAGCCAGAACAGTCATGTGACCGTCAGAACAGTCATGTGACCATTATTGGTTCGATTTAATTAGTGTTCCGAAAATCGGGAGTACTCCGAACAGTAAATGGAGCAGCCTCCTGGGAACGAGGTTGAACAATTGATGTAAGCTAATCGCTGATAATTATATAAGCTCGTCGCTGAATGGCTATGGGTTGGCTATGGGTAAAGCCTGGCGCACACGATGCGATTTTAGTCGGCCGATAAAAATCGTTTGACTAAAACTAACAAAATCGTTGTGTGTGCGGTGTCATTTTTAATTAACCGATTTTTGTTGCTCGATTTTAATCGGACAACATCAAAACGTTTTGATATTATACGATTCTTATCGGTGGAATTTTAAGTATAACAATCAGATTTCATGCTGTGACCACGTGCTTGTATTTATTTGGCAACATGGCAGCTATACAGTTCAGGGAGCATATTTTTTTCGTAATCGTGTGCGGAGTATACCGATGTATATCGGTATGTCAAACGATTTTTATCGGCCGACTAAAATCGCATCGTGTGCGCCAGGCTTAACGTTAACAGTAATCTGCTTCGCAGATACAAAAATAAAGATATACACCGACACTGTATTGATATATGTTCATACCTGCAAGTTTTTTTCATTATAAAAGTGTATTTTCCCAATTTAGATTGGGTGGGTCATGAAATAAATTTGGTAAGATTGGATGGGCTTTGAAATTTTTATCTACATCCTAAGATGGGTCACCAAACTTATTGGCAAAATTTGTGATTTACCTCCAGCCCACGTACCCTAGCAGTTACTTTATGACCAGTCCCTAATGTTTGTAAGATCTATATTCAAATCATCTTTGTTTTTCAACAAGTAATTATTGTCCAAAAATACAGATCTAATTCGTAAAAAACTGTATCGAATTCTAATGAACCTGACCCACATCCCACCTCAACCTTAACCCCCACCCTAACCATAATCCGGGGTGAGGGTCAAGAACACTATTTTTAAGTTAGATGGCGAAGATGATCATCCAGCCTCGGTAATACCGACATTTGTCAATTGAGAAATTTGCGGTAATACCGAAACTATCTTCACATGCATGTATGCATGCATGTTTGGTATGTTTGGCATGTTTTTTTGTATTACGATTAATATTTCTATAGCGCAAATTCACATATGGATACGATCAAATGCGCTTTACATCAAGTATTACGCTTACCTACACTATAATTACATAATATTTAGCCTAGACTATTTTATCTTTGCAACAATTGTGATATTGCTTTCCAACTGTGTTTATCCTAACCCACCTTGTCAAATTTCCGGGTGGGAGGAAACCGGAGCACCCGGAGAAAACCCACGACTTTCGAGTTTCGTCAGAGCGTCGGACTGACTCTTTTCACATGAGTCCGTAGGGAATAGCCTGCGGGCAGGCTGCCCGCAGGCTAGTAGGGAATCGAACCCACGATCTCAGATAGATCTTTCTATATAGATTACTGGCCGTCTAAACATGCAAAGCAAATATCTGGCATAAAATAAACAATTAAATCCCAAAAAAAGAATCTTGAAAAATCCACGACCGATATGGACTAAAATCAAGACAAAATTCGTGACGTGATATTATTTTCGAGTCTGAGGAAGAAATTCGACTGGGCAGTCTTCATCATAGTTTATTTAGTTCATATAATGGATTCGTTACTGAGATGTTTTTTCGGAATTTGTTTTGTCTTATATATTTTCAAGTTATCATCTAGAATTTGATTTTGAAATAACACGAACGATGTTTCCAACAGAAGTTCTTCGCCTTTCAATATGCTGATCTAACCGTCACCGGATATCATAGATTTTACAAAATACATGTACAGTACGTGTCGTAATTAAATAATAAGTTATACTGACTAGGAGTTACTATCGCAAGGAAAGTGCTGCCTTTTTTGCCACATGAACTGAATGCAAAACCACTCCAAAGGGGAGTTTACTTTTGACCCAATGAACTTATTCTTAAATTACGTGCAGGGAACATGAGTAAATAACCAACATGAAAAAGTTGCCATTGGGTCAAAATGGATAAACGGCATACCCATTAGCTGACAATGCACCCCACTTTAGTATTAACTCTGTCTAACGCCAGACAAATTTACACTCTGTAACGCCAGACGATTTTACTTGTCAGTTGTAGAGTACTGTCAGTATCTGCTAATGTCTCTTATTAACCGCCATTGGCTGGCAATGCGCCATACTTTAATAGTTACTGCCTATCCACTACCTGTAGGAAGCAATTTTGTATTGGGGGAGCTGATTAGTCAGGGGCGATTATTAGGTAATTATATCCCTCTCAAAACTTCACAGATTATCGCTAGTTTACAAGTTGTTGTTTTTTTTTTGGGGGGGGGGCGGGGCTGAAGACCCCAGATCCCCGGTTGCTACGGCCCTGCTATCAACGCCAGACAATTTTACTCGTCAGTGCCAGTAAACGACTTAATTTCTCGTCACCCCAATTTAAATTTTTACGATTTTTGTTGTTTCTAATTGCAGATTTTAACTTTAAAATATAGATTTTAATTCTGAAAATCAAGATCAAGATATTACAATTTATTATATTTAAAAAATCTAAATTTACGAAAACATTACTGAAATGTTTCATGTTTGATCAGTAATACCCCCCGCCCCAATCTTGACCCATCCCGTCACTGGGCCTGGGCCGCATCAGACGTTGCTCATTCGTCGTCCTTTTTTTCAAGACCCCAGCACGTCGCTGGAGTCAATATGAGTAAAATACTCCTTGTATTAAAGCGCTTTTGTGTAGGAAGTTTCGTTTGAATAAGGCGAGTAGAAATATTTATTTTGAATTTTTCAAAATATAGGGTTTTTACTCGCACGCGCGCGCCACGTGTATGCTTGCGTCCGATGCACGTGCAAAGCATGCCACTGGGAGTACTTTGACCTGTAGAATCGATTTCCGGTTTTTCCAAACCCCTAGGATGTAAACAGCTGTTTTGATGTAGGAACGTTTCACGGGCCGCGCTAAAAATATAAATTTTCTGTAAATACCGAAATAAAAGGTGAAAATCTGAAGACACAAGCTTGAAAATAACACTGTGAATAGTGTTTTGGATTCTGGTTCGAATGAGACTATAACGAAAAAGATATGTCCAAAGGGGCCGAAGTTATGTTCGGCGAAATGTATGGCTAGTTTACATTGTTTGTTTATATATAAATGAAATATGAAACCATACCTTACTTGTTAAAATTCGCGTCGTACTATTATTGTATTAATATTAGGCAAATGAGAACCATGCAATAAGTGTTTTAGTCCTTGTTATTTTAAACGCACGCTTTATCTTTACTACCACAACGTTTTGCGCGCGGATTATATTTCGCGCAGTGCTAAAATTTGCTCACCCAGCGCTGCGCGAATTCTAGTATTGCGCGAATTTTAATACTGTAAGACATATTGTGCCATTGTGGACATTTGACTAATGTCATAATAAAATTATAATGACAATACATTACTCGACTTTGAACAAACAATAATTTATAAATTCTTAAACTCTTTCATATACATAGTAGCCAGCGATTTGTAGTAGGTAGCCATAAGTAGGTAGCTGGTAGCATGAACCCAGGCTGTTACCCTCGATATTCGCAACTTTATTAAACCGGTTCATCACATCGATAAATAAACACTAAGTATATGAACTAAACATACAGATATTACTACTTTATGTGCTGAAAATTTCGGGTAAAACACTTAAAAGACACATATTAATATTTGACTATTTGAGTAGCCTGCTCGCATCATTGAAGAAAATTTTGTTGAACAGCCCCCTCATTTTACAAACCAACTTGAATACTTAATGAGCCCCCTGGAATGCCGAAATCTCCACCGAGTGAAAATCGCTATTCGACTATACATAACTCGGCCGCGGGGACTGGACACGAAAAAGCAAGAACGTCATGTAACGTTAAGAATAGTGTGCTGCCGAGCTGAGGCTCGGCAGCAATAATATTTCATATAATTAAATTGCATGCACGGCTTACGGGAAGAACAAGGATGTAAATATGTAAATATGTATTCTCTTTGATGTAATTACCGTGTTGAAATAAAATTTTTAATAATAATAATAATAATAATATATATGTACTACTTAAAACACGAGTAAGAGTGTTTTATCAGATATAAAACGCGAGGCGCAGCCGAGCGTTTTATATCTGATAAAATACGACAACGAGTGTTTTGAATAGCTTAAAATACGACTGCAAAAGAATACTAATTAGGATGAACCATAATATAATCATGCTAATTAAGATGAACAATTATATAATGCCACATGTGTTTTGTCAGATATAAAGTCACTCCACGTGACATAGCTGACATAGCGTGATATAGCTGACATGATTTGCCACAAGATTTATGAATTATTAATGAGTATTTTAAATATATATATATATATATATATATATATATATATATATATATATATATATATATATATATATATATATATATATATATATATATATATATATATATATATATATATATATACAGCAAATTTATATATTGCTTGTTGCAAATCAGTTTCGATGCTTAATAACTCTTAATATATTACTACTATTACAGCATGCATTTTCCGTTTTAAGATGAACTAGATGCTGGTGAAACGCTGAAGAACATCATCCTTATTCAAGAAAAATACATGGCGGAAAATTTTCCATCAACATTATTGGTCTTGGTTGGGGTAGGGCTGGCAGTGCATGACAAACAGCTTTCAAAATTGTTTAGTGGAGTTCCATTGATAATGGCTTATGCATGGAAAACCAGTGAAGGATCAGAAGAAACAGGTCCAGACACAGCACAACTAGCTGAACGTCAAACACCGGAAGATGAGAATGCGCAAGACAAAGGTAACTTAAACTACGTAATCATAAATTATTTGATAGTGCGATTTAAGAACGATAACATCAAATTTTAGCTGGAAGGATCAGAATTGTGACGAATTACTATGATAAATTATCAATATTTTAAGATCTTAGTTCAATCGAAGTTATAGCATTATTTTTAAATTATAGGAAATAATTTTGTTATATTTTCATTCTAATTTGTCCATTGAAGGATCAGAAGAAACAGGTTCAGACACAGCACAACTAGCTGAACGTCAAACTCTGGAAGACGAGAATGCACAAGACAAACGTAACTTAAACAACGTAATCATAAAACATTTGATAGTGCGATTTAAGAATGATAACATCAAATTTTAGCTAGAAGGATCAGAATTGCGACGAATTACAATTAGCAATATCTGAAGCTCTTAGTTCATTGGAAGTTACTGTATAGCATTTTTTTAAATTATAGTAAATAATTGGTTATATTTTCCTTCTAATTTGTCCATTGAAGGATCAGAAGAAACAGGTCCAGACACAGTACAACTAGCTGAACTTCAAACTCTGGAAGATGATAAGGCACAAGACAAAGGTAACTACTACGTAATCACAAAGGATTTAGTAATGCGATTTGGCAATGATAACATTAAATTTTAACTATATATAGAAGGATCAGAATTGTGACGAATTATACTGTAATAAAATATCAATATCTTGACAAGCTGATTGCAAGTTATAGCATTTTTTGAAATCATAGCAAATACATTTTATTAATTATTAATTTTTTTCCCATTGAATGATCAGAAGAAACAGATCCCGACACCAGACAACAAGTTAAACTTCAACCTCCGGAAGATACATGAGGGTGACTAGCTAATCATAACGAATTTAGTAATGCTATTTAACAATGATAACAAAATTTGCGATGAATTACTATAAGTTGTCAATATCTTGGGACGTTGATTCAAAGCATAGCATTTTTAATTACAGTATATTTTATTTATTATTTGTTATTTAATAAAATTGGAATGGTTTTAATTTTCACATAGCAAGAAACAAGTATATAAAAAAAAGGAAAAGAAACGTAAAGTTAAAAGATGGGATCTCGACGTATTACAAGCCAATCAACCCAAAAGGACGAAAAATGAAACGATAGATCATTAGAACAATCGTTAGAACAATCAATTCAATATTATACTGCTAAATCAACTTCTATAAAATTAAATATACTGTATTAATTCTGACTTGTAAGGGTCGCATATATTAATATCAACGCAGTTGTTAATCACACCACTGGCACTGCAATTTCATTACATATATATATATATATATATATATATATATATATATATATATATATATATATATATATATATATATATATATATATATATATATATATATATATATATATATATATATATAAATATATAGTTTTTCGTTTTACCTCAAAGAACCACAACAGTCTGTTTCATCCGTATAGGAATCATCAGGTGGTGAATAATTTCGAAATTGTAGGTTGCTTTTATGCTATCGAAAGAATGTTCGGAATGCGTGTAGGCGAAACAATGCTTAGGTGAAACAATGCATGCTTGGGTCATTAGATTTTGTTAACGACCTTGTTTACTCGAAACCGGTTTTTGTGACGACATTTGCCGAAAATTTCGCTTCTTTTATTGAGTAAATTGTCTTTGTTTATGTCTTTCAAAATGCAAAATTTTTCTTCCAAACATAAATTGCAGCGTTTTGATCCTCCTGTGTACGAAATAGCGTGTTTTAAAATTGACCATTTGATGGTATAGACCAATTGCGAAACTTAGTGGCCGCGCCTTCATACTGCACGAGAACGAGGCTTATTATGCAAAAACAAAACAATTTCTATATTTTTACATAGCGAAAAGTGAATTTTAGGGTTTTTAAAGCGTTTTTTCTTGAATCTCTTTCTTTGATCTTTTCTTAATATTTCGTGCTAGGTTATATAAATATTTGTTAAATTTATCTAGACATCGATTTCCCACTATATTTTTACCCGCTTTGGAGAGATATTTCGTTGTTGTTTTAGCATGCGATGGGACAAACATATGGAAAAGATCAATCTAGACTTCTGATCTAATCAAGATGCAAATAAAATAGCCAGTATAAATTAACAAACTAAAATATAACTCTTTCTACCCAGATTTTTTTAGACTTCGTGCGAGAAAAAACGATTTTGTCAAAGGATAATAACATAAAATTTCTACAAATTTTGCCCGACATTTACTTTCATATTTTTAAAGTTAAAATCGAAAACTTGCTATTATATTACAACTGAAACAAAATTAATCAATGTTACAACTTATTCTTTGAAAAGTATTAATAAAACAGACGGAAAACACCTGATTCTTTCTCTGGTATAATCTGCTTCTTTTATCGGACGGCGAAAAACAGCAAAACTTTGCCTCGCACGCCGCAAAAAACAATGAAATTTGAAGTAAGACTAAATCTATGCACAAGTTTAATAAAGATTTACATAGTCAAAACGAAAATATTGAAAAAAAATGAAGAGATTACCATAAAAACGCGTCTCAAACACTGAAATTCGTTTTTCGCCATATAAAAATATAGCAGAATGATTTGTTTTTGCATAATAAGCCTCGTTTTCGTGCAGTTGAAGGCCCGGTCACTAAGTTTCGCAATTGGTCTATAGAGCTAGGTAACGTTTTGAACAAATAATCTTAAGTTGTACGACGTCTACAACGTCAACGTTATGCCAGGACGTCAGGGTCGAGCGGAGGACTGGGACCAGGACCTCAGCCTTCAGAAACTAACGAAGGCTGGGCATGCAGTCATTTTGGTTAAAATTCAAACAAGTTCATTATTCTTTCAAAAACAGTAAAAGACAATGATGAATATAAACTTTTTATATAGACAATGGTTTTGTAATTATATTTTACAACATAACGTCATGACTCATTGTAACAAAAACACATATTTAGTAGTAATAGGCTAAAAAACTTAGCGTATACTCGAGCGTATAAATGGAAATGTAGAGTGGTCCAATAATTACGAAATATAATGACAGCGATCACGGTAAGCGTTTAGCTTTCGCTGTCCGCCATTTTGAACGTGGCAAAGAACCTTTACGAGTAAATTACACCAAGTACTTCATATATTTTTCGTGGATTTGCGGATTTTTTAAGGATTTTGAAGGATTTCTGTGGATTTTTGAAGGATTTCTGTGGTTTTTAAAGGATTTTTTGGATTCTGATGGATTCAACGGATTTTGAGGATTTCGTGGATTTTTTCTGGATTTTTTCCGGATTTTTTGACGAAGTGTACGGGATTTTTGGAGTGAAATGCCCCTCGAATATATATATATATATATATTAATATATATATATATATATTAATTAATTAATTAATTTGTTAACTTAAAATATAGTCACATGCAACTCTGAGTTTCACGCTCAATGCGATCTTCAGGCGACAATGTTTAAATCTCGATTAAAAATTTCTGTATGGATACATGCGAGTTCGTTAGGCTTACTTGCGTGATTGTATTGCGTGCGCACGTTCAAATTTTCCCGCCAAGTATTGCTTCCGGTGGCAACACTTTGAGAATAGCTCACATCTCCTGTTTAACAATCTTTTCTTGTCACCTTTTAAAATTTCCAATTTCTCTTGGAGGCATAGGTCGCAACTTTTTGCGCCGCTGCGATCAGATGATGCTTGCTTCAGAATGGACCACTTGATGTTGAATGTACGTTTCTTGTTTTTCAAGTTCCAAATGTGTTTGGACAGCTCAGTGGATTTAACATAGCTGGTATCTTTGAATGAGGTCTTGTGGTTGTAAAAACGTTTCTTAAACGTGTTTGATGTCATCCCAATATAATCTCGAATTACTCCTGTGTCGTCCGTAACCTCGGCTTTATAGACAACGCTCTTTGTAAGGCAATTATTGTTTAAGGGACATTCAGTGCTTTCTATGCAGTTACAGTTTTCTTTGGTAGATGCTACTACATCACTTTTATTCTTTAAAAGGTTACCGAAGTTATGTTTGGAGATGACGCTTTTACAGTTATCCATGCAACTATAGCTTACTTTGACCGAGTTTCTGTTAAAGATCTTGTGTAGCGGATTAGACGCAGGGAAATGTTTGTCGATCAGGTTTAGAAAGTTTCTACCAACATTTGTTCTTACATTCTTGCTAAAAGGTGGGTTAAACCAAATTATATTTCTTGTTCTCGTTCTATTCTTGTGTTTATTATTTGGGGAGTAGCGTATTAAAATTTGTTGGGTAATGACTACGGTGGAGCGCGGCGTCATAAAGAGAAAGACTTCGAGAAAGCTTCTTGATTCGATGATAACTGAGAAATTCGGTTGCCCACAGAAGATGGGAGTTGCTTTGTAATTGAAGGAGGATGGCTTGAATGACTGTCAATGAAAAGTGGCTCATTGTTAGGCTTTCGATTGGTTGGTAGCTTTCATCATTTAAATTTAAGGTAATATCTAGGAAGTTGACAGATTGGTGGGTAATTTCTGCGGTGATTTTCAATTGAAACTCATCGAAAAGTTGGTGGAGATCTTTTCTAGCTTTGTCAGCAAGCCGGACAGAAGTACCTCGTAGTAGGATTAAACCATCGTCTTGATAAAGGCCGACGCGGCCTTTGCCATATTTCCTTGCCAAGGAATTGAGTATAAATAGGCCTATAAGCTCGCACACTTCTGCTCCATCAAAACTGCCCAAGGTTACGTCAAACAAGGGATTGTTTTGTTGTTTGATCCAGGTTTTACCGTCATTGAACAGAAGCGATTTTCTTGCGTGTTTGATGACTTTGATCTGCTTATCATCGATACTAACGTACCCGCGAGCCCAAGTGATGGCTTTGTCAAGAAGTTCCTCTGTTATTGATGGATAAAACTCTGCTACGTCGAAGGAAAGGAAGGAGTGACCAGGTTTGTTCTTGATGTTTTTGAACCAGTCAATGACAGATAAAGAATTTTTCCACTGGTTCAATCCGGTAGCGTTTCTGATTTGTGTATTAATATCATCCAGGATGATCTTACTACGCTGCATCCAGGATGATCATAATACGCCAGTTTATGGAGTACTTGACCTTTGACTCTTTAAGTTGCCAGATGTATTTGCTCAGCTCTGTGGCATTTCTATACTTGCTTAATCTGAATGAGCTAGTGTGGCAATAATATCTGGATTTGAACTCTCCTTCAGTATGTTCGACATACGATTCCTTTTGATTCGTATCGTTCCTAACAACCGTTGCTTGGTATACTACGCTGGATGTTAGACATTTACCGGGCAGTGGACATGAGGACTTATTCCTGCAATTGCATTGTCTTGGTTTCGTGCTGCATGTTGACGCATCTGTTGAGGTGAACTTATTTACTACATTCAATTACATGCCACACTGACTATTAGAGGTGTGCAAATCCGAAACCGATCCGATTGGATTCGTTCGGATTTCGGAACCAAAATATGTCGGATCGGATTGATAAAGTTGTTTCGTGGTCGGATCGGACTTCGATATTCGAAATAAAATGAATTAATTATCCACGCATTATCGCAATAATTGATTGATCCATGTCATTTATCAAAGCATCATCGCGGTTGTCGCTGCATTATTCGTTTGACACTTCAATTGGACGTCACTTTGTCAGCTTCTTGACATGTATTTCTTGCTTTTATATTTATTTGGTTAAATATTTCAACTTGAATGAGAAATTTATTTTATTAAAGAATTCTTCGGATCGGATTGGAATTCTTTATCAAAACTCGGATTCGGATTAGACAATTTCGGATCGGATTTTAAACATTAGGCAATTGTTGGATTATAAACGTCCGATCCGATGCACACCTCTACTAACTATTTAGGTCAAAAAATGAAAATCGATTTTCTCGAGTGGTGTAGGTAGACCCCCACCACAGAGAAGAGATTAGCCTGAGTGCAGCCTGACTTTAAATGGGGAGAAGTGACTTCTGTCCATTTAAAGTCAGGCTGCACGCAGGCTAAGAAGAGATATACAGAGAGGAAACACGCGGCAAATATGTCACGCCGATATATTCAGTATACTAGTATACTATACTATAGAAAATTATATTAATTCACTATTTTATTAAATTTTGATAATGCAGAGGAATAAAACTAAACATATAGAAGTATTTATGTGTTTTTTTTTATGCGAGAGTTCTATTTTGAGGAATTTATATCATTCGCTGCTTTGTTTTTTTATACATGAGTATCTGAAATTCCCAGCATGTGTTTACGGAGTAGATAGGGAAAAAAACAAACTTTTGCAAAATAAAATGTTATGTTAACACTTTTAATAAAAGGAAATCAATAAAAGTGATCGCTTACCGTTATTCTACAATAATTTATTGAACAAAATTTCCATGGGTATCTCATTTTTTTTAAAAAAAGCGATTTTCACCTTTCGAACGACGTTTTCCCTATCTTTTGCTATGAAATTTCAGCGACGGCACTGGCTGGAAGATTTTGCGTGGCGCGCCGTGGAACGCGTGACACAAAAACTGAGGTTATCGAGTGTCAGTTTCCTCTCTGTATATCTCTCCTCTGTAACTTGCAGAGCATGCCCACAAAAAAGTGGGTACACTAGTTACAACACTGTATAAGTATCTACTCTGTGCCTGAGGTAAGCCAAGGTAGACCAAGGTGAGACGTGATGTGTGCGTGCCGCGAGATTCCAGCTCAGCGTTTTACTGATCTTATTCAGTTGAACGCGTATTTCGTGAATTTGGATGTGAAAATCTCCTAAATTGTAGATAAAGTGTAAATCTATCTGTGGCATTGGTTCACAGAGTAGAGACGTAACTGACCGTTGTAAACACTGCGGAAGATTACGTTTTCATGTACCCACTTTTTTTCAGGCGACCGGGCAAAAAATGATCAACTGCGCGTGCTCAGCAAGTTTAAAGTGAGTCGTCATCAGGTCGTCATCCAATCAGATGCATGCATCTAGTAACTTGCCAAGCATGCGCACAAAAAAAGTGGGTACACTAGTTACGTCTCTGTATGTCTCTACTCTGTGATTGGTTGGAAGCCGTTTATCTCGTAAGCATACGGCGCACGCGATATCAACATATAGTAATAGTAATAGTAATAGTAATAGTTTATTAGGACTCTCTTGCAGTTACAGAAACAACTGAATTAACGAGTACTTTACAATAGATAAGAATATGCTATAAAATAGTACATGGATATGCTTTAGAATCTAGGCTATTTACAAGAGTTAAAATCATTAGGCATTTACCAAAATAGTAAATAGTGCATGCATAATTATTTACAATTTTCATATATATTTAAAAAAAATCTTAACATATTAAGAGTATTTAAATGTAAAAAAAGGATTGAGCTTTAATTGTTCTGCAATCAGTAACATTAAATAGATAAAATCGATCATATGTCAGCGCAAGAACGTTCAAATCACTGATTAGAACTTTCAATCAGATTGATTTAACCTTGGTAATCGGTTGGCAATTGGATTCTTTACGTAAATACCGAAATGAATAATTTCATGATTTCTTGTCCTATCGTTTTCTTCACCTGGTTATGCCTATTTCGAACTATTTCGTGGTTCCATGGTTTTGGCCGCATCTGATAAAGATAATACTGCTGCAGAACGAATGTCAACGTCTTCCCATACTTTACTAATTTCTTCCTAGTCAAAGGAACTTATCCGCCTGAGAGAAAATGGTATTTTGTTATTAATAATCGGACACGCTTTTTGAATTCATTAAAAGTAAATTTCTAAGACGAAGACTTCACTTCTACGCAAATTGTCAGTCAACTTTTAACCCTACAGCATTATCCTCGTATTTGTTAATGTGTGGTGACATTCACCTTATCCCGGACCAACAACTACAAATAAAGCAACAAAGCACATGCAAGTGTACTATGTCCAGGACTATGTCCAGGATCCAATACCACAACAACCCCCTTGCGGCACATAACGTGACTACTACCGCTACATTGCTTTCTGGGGATGTACATCCTAATTTAGGACCAGCTACCACTACCCAAGATAGGACAAAACTGAGTTGTTTACGAACCCTGTATCTTAACGCACGTAGCTTAAAAGCACTGGTAGATTCTCCCGACGACAACAGTCAAAAGATTAGCAAGTTGTCCATATTTCAGAACCGTGTTTACCTAAATCATGCAGTATGATATAGTATGTGTTTGTGAAACTTGGCTGAACGATTTTATTCTTGATAATGAAATCCTACCTGGCTATACCATCCACAGAAAAGGCCGTCGCGATAATATGAGAGGTGGTGGAGTCCATAATGTTGCTGTGAGAAACGAACTACGCTCATCTAAAAAACTGTTATTGGAAGGAGAACAGAGTGAACCACTAATGATGGAACTTTATCCAGTAAACTGTACGAAACCCATACTAGGAGTTTTCTATAGACCTCCAAACTCTGACGTGGATACCCTAAAAGAGCTGAGAAACTCTCTCGATCGGTTGGAAGAATCATGTCAACTTGTTCTGGTCAGTGATTTGAACTTACCCGATATTGATTGGTCAATGGACTTTCCTTCCCCCACCTCGCAGGCTGGTTTCAAAGAAGAACTTTTTTGTGATATTATTGCAGATCAGTTCCTTTATGAAAATATTGATGGTCCGACACATCTGCGTGGAAATAAACTAGACTGCGTTTTATGTAACGTCCCGGAGCTCATCACTGATGTCAACTTTGTGAATCCAACTGATCTGTTTCCATCTGATCATTACTTTATTAAATTCGACATCAAACTTTGTTTCCAAAAGGCAAAAGCGGTAAGACGAACAGTGTATGACTTTAAAAACGCAAATTTCAACGCTGCTCGTGATCATCTCTTGTACGTCCCTCTTCACTTCTGCGTATATATGTAATGGCTTCTTACAGCTATAGATCAGTTTGTCCCCAAGAAAACAGTTTTGAATACCAACACGCCTCCTTGGATAGACCGTGAAGTAAAGCATCTGACCAATAAGAAGTACACAGCTCTACGTCACTATCGACTGAAACGAACGGAAGAAAGAAAGCGTAAATTGCGAAAGTTGACGCAAGAAACTAAGAACTTACCTGATTAAGCTAAAGCGACAATGATGTTTAGAAAAAGTTCAGGATTCGTTCACAAAATCGCCCAAATCATTCTGGTCCTACCATAAACATATCCTTCGCAACCGAATTTCTCCATCTACGAATACCTATAACAATGTAACTGCAACAACACCGAACAAAAAGGCTGAACTTTTTAATGAATTCTTTGCTTCTGTGTTTCTTCCAAAGTCCACTTCCAAGAATATAAACCTAAACATGACTCCAAAAACTGACCAAGAAATATCTCAAATACAGATTTCGGAGTATGAAGTGGAGCAATGTTTAAACAACTTGGACACATCAAAAGCTTATGGCCCTGATGGAATACCACCACGTTTGCTTAAAGAATGTTCAAAAGAAATCTCACCAAGCCTCTGTAGTTTATTTAACAAATCCTTAGCAACAGGACGTGTTTCCGTTGGGTGGAAACAAACGAATGGTATTTCCATTCACAAGAAGGACCGTGTTGAGCCCGTTACCAACTACAGATCCATTTCTCTCCTATCCATACTATCGAACGTTCTCGAGAGAAGCGTGTTTAACAGCATCTGTTTATACGATTGAATGATTTTGTATGTATGTAAATAGTGTGCTAATGTGTGGGGGTTATGCAACTATAAATACGGACTTTGCTAAGCGAACTTTAGTTAGTTATTTATGAAAATCGTGAAGAACTTGAAGTCAAACTTGAAGTAATATTATATGAAATAAAGTATATGAAGTTAAATATATAAAGTCAAAACAAATTGGTGCCGAAACCCGGGAACCGTTGGCGTTGTGATGAGTATAGAAGGTTCAAAGGAATTTGCGAGTGATTATGGTCTGGGCGGCGAACACGACATGTTGAATTCCGAACAGTGTTACGGATTAAATAAAGAAGTTCCTTCAGCGGAATTGTTGAACATTCAAGCGAAGAAAGCCAGCAGAAGAGGTAAGATGTCGCATGTTACCAAACTGTTGAACAATATATACAAGTTAATCGAAACCTCAGGCAGTATCAGAGAACTTGATAGAGTTATTAACTCACTTAATGAAGCGTTCAGTGGCTTTGTAAAGCGCCATGACGAGTATATTGCTGTTTTGACTAGCGAAGTAGATAAGATACAGATTGATTTGGCGACAGATAAACTAGTTGAGATTGAAGAGAAAATCGCGAACTGTAAATTGAAGGCAGAACAGTACATTTCAGCACAACAGAAAGAATCAGAGTCTCAACGTCGGGGTTCACAAGAAGAGAAATGTTTGCTCTCTATCTCTGTTCGTTCTCGTGTATCGTCGAGAAAGAAATCTACCTATATGCATCTGAGTAAAGAACAAGAACATCGATCAAGAAAGAGGTTAGACGAAGTTAAAGAGCGCCACCAACTACAAGACTTAAAGTTTAAAACATTGAAGCGTGAAATGCAAATTCGTCGGGAATTGGAAATTCGTCAAGCAGAACGTGATTTAGAATTGTGCAGTATTGCGAAATCAAGTTCATCAAGCTCAAAGAATTCATCAAATCCTCAGTCTGTTGCAGACCAGTCACTGAAAGCAAAGAAAAGCAGCTCTCCCGACAAAGTTAACGTCAAGCTTCCAGTTTACTCGAGCGATTGTAACAAGACTCACAAGAAGTTTACGACCGTGAGCAATTCAAAGGAAATTTCGACGTGGAGCACACCGCGTTAGTCCTTGGGGAAAAGACAATACCACTGGGTACATTTGATGGAAAGAAAGAAAGTTGGCTTCGATTCTTTCAGACGTTCAAGGCCTATGACCCTAATTGTAAAGTTCGCAATTTTGGAAAAACATTTAACGGGCCCTGCGAAAGACTGCATTAGAGGATTTCCGTTTACTGAGAACTCTTATCCATTGGCATTGAAAGCCTTGCAAGATCGGTTCGGTGATGAAGAAGACCAAGCAAGTTTTTATCTTGGAGCCGTGGAAAACTTGCCGAAGATAAAGATTTCAGATGTACCGGGTCTTCGAAAGTTCCACGACGATTTGAACACTACTATACAAGTGTTAGAAAATATGGGACCTGATGTAGCTATGCATCTGAATGACCCAAGAAGAATGAAATTGCTATCAACCAAGTTACCACGTAATCTTGCGGTTGCCTGGGCAACTTACCAAGACGACAAAGGCATCGGATCGGATATGCGCGCCTTTGCTGAGTGGTTACGAAAAAAAGTTCAAATCCTAGAAAGAGTTGAAGTTCAACCACAAACCGAGGCTGGAGATAAACGAGTTCCAGGAAAGCAAGTCTTCAAACCCCACGTGCATGTTACAACGCGAGATGAAGTCACCCAAACTGAAAGAACAGAAACGAAATTACCGATTGAAAGAGAAAAGTGTTGGGTTTGTCGTGATGGTAACCACCAGGGCTGTAAATACTCGTTACAATTGTAACGCGTTACTGTGTACTCGTTACATTTGAAGTAATTCTAACCTGTAATTAATTACGTTTTTAGAAATGTAACGAAAAACGTAATTAATTACAAAAGCAAGGAACGTGTTCCTTTTCCAAGTAGCAAATTGAAAATTCCTTTTCTTATTTTGTAAAAATAAGAAATAAAAAATACAACGTATACGACAAGAATTCAGAAAAATGGCTGAACTAATTTTCAACGAGATATCACATGACATGATAGCCTACATGAGAGTGTATCTAAAAGTCGAGGGTCGAGAGTATAGGTCGAGAGTCGAGAGTAAAAGTCGAGAGTCGAGAGTAAAAGTCGAGAGTAAAAGTCGAGAGTAAAAAGTCGAGAGTAAAAAGTCGAGAGTAAAAAGTCGAGAGTCGATCGAGAGTAAAAAGTCGAGAGTCGGCAAATGTCATCAGAAACAACAAAGTCAAAATATTTTTAACCACGTTTCACACAATCTATATATAGCTTTACATAGCCATTCCGTAACAAGTACCAACGGCTGAAATACAAACTTTACAATAAATGTTGCTACAACAGTCAATAATAATAACGTGAATTGAGCAAAAAAGATTGGATAAGAAAATAATATCGCATTTGATGCCTCAATCTTGCTAAATGTTTTCACATATGATTTCATGCTAACCGACACATAAACTCCGCTAGCTGAATTTTGACAGCCATCTCCGGGCTTGTAACTAATGTCACTTATTCATTAACGCACGTTTATATCAAACGAGAGCGTATTAAGAAATCCACCTTGATCACAGTCTAACGATTCATACAATTGTGAATTCATAAATACGAGCCAGTAAAAATAGGATTCTTTTGTCGTATGGTGTGATGGTAATATGTCTCGCACGTGATTGTAAAGTCCTAGTATATATGTAGCTTCATATATGAGTAATTTTTCGCGGAAATAGGTGCATGTAAAAGCGGAAAGGATAGACAGTAATATATATAAGGAAGCGGTAAAACTAGTTATTAGATAATAGTTATTATTACTGAATGTTGTGGCTAAATTTTTGCGAAAGTTTTTGTTTTATATTATACTGGATTATTCCTTTGATTGTATATGCCTCTTGTTTACTTTAATTTCGAGAATTTGAGCATACTAAACTATTATGTTTCGCAAATATTGTTTGCTTTAGTCTTTATGTTCCGATACACAGGGAATGAAATTAGTTCAACCGTCATAGGCGTACTGTAAATGTGAACACAAAAACATATAAATTACTAATTAAAACAAAATCTAGTGTTAACCGCATAGTCAAAATGCCAATTTCACAATGGGAAGGACTGCTCAAAATAGAGGAAAAAAGAAATTTGTTTTTGAATTTTTTAAAATTTCGGACACCCGGATTGCTAACCCCCCCCCCTATGTCCGAGTTTGTCCTGATTTGCAAATTCCCTCGGCTCGGACATCCTTTGTGAATGGCCCCATAGCGGCAAATAAAAGATAAAAAGTGCTCCTATTATCGAGGCAAACTACATAGCAATTCAAGAAATTTAAAACAAACATGGAAAACACTCAACGAATTGATGAATAGAAAGTCGACTAATAATAAAATCCCAGAAATGAAAGATGAGAATGGTGAAGTAATTGACGAAACGCTGATCCCTAATGCCTTTAATAAATACTTTGTTGAACTAGGGGGAAAACTTGCGAATAAAATTCCTCGATCGAATATTTTACCGGATAGTTTTCTCAGGGATGTACACCATCCAGTTAATGGGCTCCCTAGCTTTCAAGAAATTTCAGAAAATGATGTTTTGACTCTACTTCATGGTTTAGGGCCTAATAAAGCATCGGGAATTGATGGTATCTCCTCTCGTATCTTAAATTTCGGCAGCAGTTATTTCACCATCCCTAACATCAATATGCAACCAGTCAATCTTAAATTAACAGGCATATTTCCCAATGATTGGAAAATCCTTAGAATTACTCCGATCTTTAAGTCTGAAGCTAAAGATGAAATGACAGACCAATATCCGTTATATCAGTAGTTGCCAAAATTGCAGAAAAGCTGATTCATAACCAAATCTATAATTATTTACATAACTATAATCTACTTTCAAACTCCCAACACGGATTTAAACCACTTCACTCAACTGTTACAGCATTACTGGACATAACCAACGAGTGGTATACAAATATTGACATTGGGAAACTAAATGGGATTGTATTTCTGGATCTGAAAAAAGCATTCGATACTGTCGACCACAATATACTCTTAGACAAAATAGCAACTTATGGAATAAAGGGAACGGCACATCGCTGGCTGGAGTCGTATCTATCAAATAGGACCCAGTGCTGTTGTGTGAATGGCAAACTATCAAGTCCATCAATTATGAAAACAGGCAAACCTCAGGGTTCTGGTTTAGGCCCATTGTTATTTCTAATTTACATCAATGATTTACCAAAATGTTTAAACGCCGGGACAAAACCAGATATGTTGGCGGATGATACCCAAATTGCATTATCAAGTGACGATATCAAAGTTATCACTGAAACATTAAATAGAGATTTAAACAATGTTGCAAATTGGCTGTCCGCAAACAAATTAACTCTGAACAATAGTAAAACCGAATATATATGATAATTGGTTCCAAGAAAAGGCTTAGTCAAGTGACTGCCGATCCTGCTATCAGTGTAGGTAATTATTACTTGTGTGATATGTTCACAAATGTGGGTGATGTACACAACCATAACACAAGACAGTCAGGAGCCGATTTGACATTGCCTAAACCAAAAACAAATAGTATGAAAAAATGCATTCTCCTACAGAGGTGCGGAAGTCTGGAACTGCCTTCCTGCATCGGTAAAAGCATCAACAACTATTGCTAATTTTAAGTCTAACTTGAAGCATGCAAATTAACATCAAGTGATCCTGCCATTGTTTCCATCTACCTAAAATAATATTCTTGTAATTATTTCTTATTTCTGTTTGTGTGAGCACGGCCGGTTGGAAGATCACCTTTTTTTCTTTTTATATCTTGTACATAATTAATTTTAGTATAGGTGAAATTGTACCGTGTTGAAATATAGTTCATAATTAGAAACAGTTCACTATATTAGACAGAGAGGTCCATTTTTTACACTTTATATCAATAGTAGCTGTAGTATTTGTAGCATGCGATAAGTTAATAATTAATCTCGAAGCATGTAACAACGTTGATTGACATTTGTAATAAATCATCATTCAGTCTATTCTATAATGGCGACGAGGATGTAAAAATAAACAGCGTGAAAAATATAACAGAAAACTAGAATGGCGGCACAAAACATACAGCCTATGCCTGCTTTTGAACCAAGGAGTGACCCTACAAGTACAAGTGCCAGATGGACACGATGGCTGGAGAGATTCAACACATATTTACTCGCAGCAGATATTAAAGACGATGCGAGAAAGCGAGCTTTATTATTGTATCAGGCGGGGCCCGAAGTACACGAAATTTTCAAGACTCTAGAAGAAGGTGAAACCAAAGATTTTAAGTCAGCAGTGAAAGCGTTGACGGAGTATTTTGAACCAGAGAAAAACGTGATATATCGCACCTATGTTTTTAGACAAGCGACGCAAGGCAAAGAGGAATGAATGATTAATGTCTCAGAACACATCGTTGATCACGCAGATATAACAGTTCTTTGCAAGACGTAACAGTTTCTTTGGTTGATTGGTCTCAAAGAAATAAATTCCAGCTTAATCTTCCAAAATGTAAAGAATTCGTAGCGTCCTTTAAACGGAATCAACCTAACTTCCCTCCCATTATTATTGTCACAGATTGATCGAGCAGAGATATTGTCGATCCTTGGTTTATCAATCACAATCGATTTAAAATGGAACGAACATGTGGACAAAATAGTTAATAAGGCATCGAAACGAATCTATTTGTTGAAACAGCTTAAAAAGGTTTGGACTTGACGCTAGTGATTTGAAGTGTTTTTATGTCGCTTCAGTAAGGTCGATACTTGAATATGCATGTAAGGTCTTCCATTATCGTTTGCCACAATATCTGTCGGATGTAATCGAAAGGATTCAAAAGAGAGCGCTACGTATTATTTACCCTGAACTATCCTATGAGGACGCTCTAAACTTGTTAGGTCTAAAGACTTTATACGTACGAAGGGGTGATCTATGTAATAAACTCTTCGCCTCAATTTTAAACGATGAAGAACACAAACTTCGTAATAATAGGAATAAACTTAGGAATAATAAACCTTTTAATATCCAAAAATACCGAACCAATAGATTTAGAGATACATTCATAATATCAAGATTAATAAATTTGTAAGTTTGTAACAGTTGGTATTTCAATGCCATACGTACTAATAGCTTAGAGATAATTTTATAAAATGTTTAATAATTTTGTAAATAGTTGTAAAAATGCTTTGTATATAAATCATGTAATTCAGCGCTATGGCTGCTAGATGGTTTCATTCAACGGATTATCTATCTTATCTATCATGATATTAGATAATTGAGACTGCTGTATTTAAATGGAAATTGTATTCTCAAATCTGTCAGTCACTAAGTTATGATTAATATATATATTTACAAGATTATGCATTGTGCAAACTAAAATATTATTACTAAGCTAAAACGTTTTACCATTTTAGGTTAATATTTTGTGCATTGCATGTAGCAACTCTCACTAGTTGCATATCACTGGACATTGACAATTATGAATTGTCCTTTTGTATACATTTCCATCTATGATGGCGCATTGCTTTTCCCTGGAACGAGCGCTTAAACGTTGTGGAATTCACGAATCTATGAAAAAATAAACAAATGCTTTTACATACATTGTTCTAAAAATACAAAGAAGAACATTTAATATTTGTGGAACGCTTAATTGACACAACATGTGATAATTATACAACAATAAGGTTCAAGATGATGCTTTATTATCCAATAACCACCTTAAAAGTATTTGAAACAGCGATATACTCTTTCGAGTGTAACGCACTAACGCCTCTCCTTTGAGAGAAACGCCACCCTCCATGGGGTACGCTAGCTGACTATGCTGTTATATTTTCGCCACTCTTTGGACAGTAACGCCTTTCCTTTGAGAGAAACGCCACCTTCCGTAGGTCACACTTCGTCCTGCCGATGTCATTTTATTCGCCACTCTGTCGGGAGTGACGCCTCTCCTTTGGGAGACACGTCGCCCACTGTAGGTCACACTACAGGGTGTCTCAAAAAAACCCAAAATCATTGAAATAACGTATTGTTCGAATTTCAATGCCGTAACACAAAGGATTTTGACAGGGTGATTAATTTGTTTTAAAAAATTAAAATATCTTTGTAAAGTGAACGTTTGTTTGCTCATGAGAATTTAAAAATGCTTCGTAAATTGTAATATGCGTAATATGCATTCGTGGGTTTAGTACTTTATGCCTGACATAACAAGTTTACGCTGAGTATTACCATTCATTATAGCAGTTATGTCAATCTTTTATGCACTCGTGGGATTAACTTAGTGCTAGGGGATTGAATATCGAACAATACGTCAATTTCAATGATTTTGGGGTTTTTTGAGACACCCTGTACAGGGTGTCCCAAAAAAACCGAAAACTATTGAAATCACTTATTGTTAAATTTGAATGCCCTACCAAACAGCTGGACGTAATGATACGTAAAATATGGACAAGGTGCATCTATTAGAATTTAGTTAGGAATATCTCCTGGTAAAGTGCGCAATTTTCTGCTCCTGGGAATTAAAAACAGCTTCTTAAACAGTTTCTTTATGCATAAAATTTACTTATGTCAATCATTTATGCACTCGTGGGAACCAACAGAGCGCTAAGGCATTCAAATTCTAACAATTAAATTGTTATTGCTGATTTCAATAGTTTTCGGGGTTTTTTGGGACACCTTGTAGAGAGTTTACTAACTACGACGCAGCCGGCTCGACGACGCGCTTTCAAAACAAAGAAATTTTAATGCAAGACAAAAACTGCGAATAATTCGTGGTCCCAGGGGTATTCTCAACGGCGTTATCACTCTCAACAGTTAACATGCACAACTGAACGAAAACGAACGTATAGCCTCATTAAACGAACAATCTATTCGTCGAAGTGCATAGAAACTGTCCTGCTCATTGGTAGAGACAGCACATCATGAACTATCTTCTGAGTATTGAACGAATATTATAATCACATACCGTTCAACGTAACAAACGAGCTAATTCTCATTGGTTGAGACAGCTGACAGCACGTCATGAATTTGCGACTGGTGTTACACAGCGGACGGACTTAAACTCGCAAGGACAATACAATTATAAGTTTTTCGAAATCTATTATGAAATATTCAATATTTTAGAAAGGACTCGACACTTGCCCATGCATGTTAAACTACAAAACAAATGTTCACATGTAATTCGTTAAAAAAGTCCGGACCATTAAACTCACAACTCACAAAGTTCAGTAGGAAACAAAAGTCCCTCAATATATACGTGGAGTTGGATGTTCGCTTGGGCTCCAGTTTTTGCTAGGAATAATAATTTATAGAAACGCTGAAGTAACAGATCAGCGGTTATCAATTAATGCATGGTTTATATTTCGTTATTTAAGCTGAGATACCTTTCTTCCTCTAACAATTATTCAATATTCCCACTCAGTACACACAAATAAACAGAGAATAAAAGATTAAGTGCAATTTGCATCGCTATTCACTTTTCATGCAGAGAATGTCAAAAAATATGTGTATGCCTAAAACCAAATAACACATCCCAAAGGCAAAGACTAAATAAAACTTCGGTATAGTTTTCATTCAATTTATAGCCATTTGCTAAACAATAACTATGTTTTGATATATGCATGTTTAATTGTAATCTTGACATAAAATAAGCTATCCTTATTAACATAACTGAATATTCGTTCGTTTTCGTTGAGTTGCGCATGTTAACTAACACAACGTTAAACTAAGCATTATTACGTCTTTCAAGCAACGTGAAAGCTTATTGCTACATAGTTATTGTCAAAGTTCAATTTTTCTGTTTGCCGATTGGTCAAAACCGTGTCACGTACCGGTCCACAAAACGTCATGTTCGGCAACCGGTCCGCAATGAAACATTTATTGACCGGTCAATAATAAAATGGGTGCAATACACATGGGTGTCAACCATGAAGTTCCAAAGTTCATTTTTAAACTTTTTACTAAACATTTACGGCGTTCCATTCATCCAGTTTTGGTTTCAAATTAAGTTCACTCCAATAACCGGTGAATTATTCATACTTTGACACTTCTATACTATATAACAAAACACTTATTTACTGAGACCTCGGGAAAGCAGTGTGTTTTGTGGCCCCTAGACCGCCGTTGTTGCCCTCGGCTTCGCCTCGGGCAACAACGGCAGTCTCAGGTCCACAAACACAGTTTCCCTCGGTCTTAGTAAATAAGTGATAAATGCGACCCAAGAGGTGTTACTTAAAGTCGAAATTACTGCAAACATTACATCGCTTTAGCCGAATTTAGCAGTTTGTAAGGTTATTTGAAAAAGCGTCAAATACTTATTAATCAGGGCGTACTGCAGTAATCAAATTGCTTAGCGCTCATTCTTGAGCTGAGCTGAAATTCAGACCGCGTAGTTGAGCCGGCCGCGTCGTAAACTCTCTATTGACGTGATTACGATGTCCTATTATTCGCCGTTCTTTCAAGCGTAACGCCTCTTCGGTCTAGGGAGAAACGCCACCCTTCATGGGTTCGGCTGTGACAGGTTGACGTTCTCGCTAGCGCAAATTCGAACATGCGAGGGGTTGGAGGTTCCTATTTTGGAAGAGGTACCAATGGTAACTTACTTCAACCCCTATCGTCGTTGGAAAATATATCTGGAGGAGGTACCATTAGTTGGCAGGTCTCGATGACTCCTCGCTTTGTTATGAGCAGGGCTAAGATGATGACCCATCATAACCTTGTCACCGAATCCATCCGATCGGCAGCGGGCAATAATAGTACTATATAGTTAGTTGTTATCAGCGTGAAATGTTAAAGGGATTTTATGTAATAAAAACAAGTTAATATTGTGTGCTGATTCGCGTCGCTGCTCACACTAATCGAAAATTAGCGGCAGGTACAAAACGCAGGTTGCAGGTTACAGGTTGGAATTTTGCAGGTTGGAAATTTTGCAGGTGGGAATTTTGCAGGTTGCCAGGAACTTTGCAGGTTGATGATGCAAACTTAAAATTACACCAATATAACGTATTCTAGTATAATTTAATTGTGTACTTAATTCAGTCTGACTCCTTGTCGGCCCTTTTGATATCAGCCAACCTGCTGCCATGTTCCTAGCCTCTCCCACAGAATAAGGACCTATAGCATCTGCTCTATGTAAGGCTTGTGGCCATCACCCACGTGAAAACATTCAAAATAACCAGATTGGCTTGGACCAACAGGGGGACGAATGTCTTGATCTTTGCGAGGTGCCTACATGACGTGGTGGCATTTATACTAGAATGTTGGAGGCTTGAGTGGACCTCACTAGATAAGCCCAGTGGTTTCATGAGGTATCCTCACCATCTGCTATTTTCTTTTGTTCTTTCTTTGTAATTGTATTGTATATTGTATGGTGAATCAATTACAGTTTCAAAGTTTAATTTTTCTGTAAATTTCCCAAAATTTCAGCTAGAAACAGTTTCATTCAAATATGAATTTTAGTTTTTTCCTTCCTATCCAATTCATGTTTTAAGACTGGGAATAATAAAGGAATAATGAAAACAATCATGAAATATACTAACCTGATACATCGTGTATGCTTTAGTTTGTATCGGACGCTTGCGACGGTCTATCACAGGAAAAAATTCCTTCAATGCAGGAAGTGTTTTCCATTTGGGATCCTCTCTTATTATTTGATGAAGAACAAGCGGGAGTGTTGGAAATAGTTGAAGGAAATAGTGTTCAAGAGAAGAAGTAGCCGGTGTCTTCTTTTTCAATTGACGCAGTTTGCCATCCGGATGCTGACATGTGTTTCCTATCAATCGAAGACAATCAGTATATCGGCTACCATTATACTCTGACGGGGAGCGGTGACCTCCTCTACACAATGTGTTGAGGTCCTCATGGCCAAAGACTCTTTTCCAATCGGTTGGTAACAAAGAAATTCGATGTTCAGATGCATAATTGATGAATTTAGGTTCGTTAACCACAGCTTGTACAAATTTCATCTGTTCTTCGAAAGAGAGAAAGAAAGGATGCTTCAAGGCTTGCTCCACATATGGTCGTTCATCTAGATCCCGACCCAACATCTGAGAAAGCAGGTCTTCGACCACATGATCACTGAGCTTGCTTAAACCCACTGGATTGTCATCATGCAAATTCTTCAGTTGGTCTATTCTCGGACCAAACGGATGCTTTCCTTTGGTCACGATGTAAAATGCCACCATGCCTGCCACTTGGATATCTGATTTCTCTTTCCACCTGAAATGTATTGGTGCATCTGAAGGTTTCCGTATCTTATCAGAATACAATCCAACCCAGTCAATACATTCTTGCGGGACCCAGCCGTGTGTTTCACCTTCGTCACTCGTCAGGTATGTTGTTGCACCTGTCAAGAAGTAAAGTTGACGCATTTAACAATATTTCACTATGTTTGACTGTCTCAGATAAGTACTTTACTTGTCAAAGGGAGAGTTTCGCCCATTAATGAATTAACCATACCAAACTACAAGACCTATGTCTCTTTATGCAATATGATCAGAGGCGCCACGGCCGGGGGGGGGGGCCTGCCCCCCCCCTATTGTAGAGACCCGTCGGAAAATTGTCAACGTTGTCGGAAATTGTCAAATTTTCCGTCGTTGGTATATTTGGAAAATTTTGGATAAATGGAGAAAATTGGCGATGTCCGGAAAAATTTTGGTATGTCCGAAAAATTTTTTTGACCCCTAAAATAGCCGAAATTTTTTTGGCGACGGGGGGGGGTGGTCGCCCAAGAAATTTCAGCTAAAAAAAATTTTCGCTCCGTTTCTGTCGGAAACTATTTTCCGGTTTGTCGGGAAAGTACTGCCCTTGGCCCCCCCAAAAACATGGGTCCCACGGCGCCACTGAATATGATGGACACTGGGGGGAGGGGGGGGGGGTTTGCGATTGCTCCCCCCACAGTCCATATTAGTTAAGCAACTAAGTCTAATAAATATACTTAGTATTCTTGCACAAGTGAACATAACGCATCCTACAATGTGATCGGTCAAATTTGACGTACTAATCTGTTATATTCACCTACAGGTGAATATTACAAATCGAAATTTTCAAAATGGCGGCTAGCCGTTTTGTTGAAGTTAGTGATAAAGAAATAAGCAAAATTAAAATGAATTCAGACAAGAAAAACACAAAAAACTTGTGCAAAAATACTAAAACAACTATTCGCCTCAGGCTCGGTGATTATCGGGGAATATTCCCCGATAATCATCTCGCCTTCGGCGAATAATTGTTAAATATATAAATTTCCACTCAATAATTTCCATGTGAGATGCCAACAAAATCTCGACATTTACCCATAACCTACACATGGCAGAACCCTAGTATACAAACATGAACTTGTGGTTAGAGCTCGGCAACTGGCCTTTGCAGCTCAGTTGGTCACAGTGCTTTTGTGTCGTTAGGAAACAAAGAAATGGAAACAAAGAAATACGCTACGTTTCGGTACAATGCGGCTGAAGTGGAAAACTGGCTTTATTGTGTTGAAACGAATTTAATTACAGGGAACTTAACTTTAAAGATCAGAAAAATGACGTTTTCGGCCACTTCTGATTTTGCAATAGGCAAACTTGCTTTGGACTAGGAACTCTCTGGGAAGGTGTTGAAATTGACATTTTTGAATTTTAATAATTTTATTTGAGGCCTCGAATATACTTTTGTGACTCGTGTGACAGCCACAAGTAAAAATGTTTCACCTTATAGGATTTTTATTCAATTTCCTGGTAACTTATTAAAAAGCTCTAGCTTTGTAGAACAAAAGCCATGTTACTATTACATTTCAACTAGACGGAAATCATAGGATTTCCAGAAGTCTTTTTATTGCTGTTTATTGACACCATTTGCATCTAGTTTTGGACAACTGGATTAGTTTAATTTAGAAACCCATTATTTTTGCAGGCTTGGTTATCTGGCTGGTAGAAGATCTTCGATCTTCAATCAAAAATAGGCAATTACTGCACAGGAAAATATTTTCAAGTGTTAAATCAACTGGAATGAAGGGTTTCCTAAAATAATAGTTTCATAATAATTTTGGTAAAAACATAATTTTTTGCACGTCAGGTGTTAAACGTGACTTGCGTGACCATACTTGAGGGTGATTTTTCTTGAAAACGAATGCTAATATTTTTCTAAATTTTTTGGAAGTAGTGTCCAACTAAAAGAACCAAGTTATCAAAGTTTCAAATAATTTGCTTTAGTTGACAGAAATTGAAAAAAACTTTATGGTATACGTTTGTGACTCGTGTGAACAATAAATGAGAGCGTTTCAATCCAGGCTGGTACAAGACCGATTTCTCATGTCAACATGTTTAACTTAAAATATATATATTTAAACAACAAATATATTATGTTAAGGTTACAGAACACCTTTGAGTGTTAATTTTGCCTAAAATGTTTTTATTGGTTTCAGTGAAAGCATTAGACTAGTTCTACTATCTGACCAAGTTTGAACGAAAAATGTTGAAAACTCGCAGAGTTATTTACGGTAATTACGGATTTTCAAACGAGTTGTGCTCCTGCGGGTTTTAACCAATTGTTCTCAAATTTTCACAGGACATAGCTAAATACGTCAGTTTCAAAATTGTGTTCGGCTTTTTTTTAATTTTGGATATTTTAAAAATAAAGAGCAATTCACTCGAACAATTCAGAAATATATTGCAGTCGTGAAAGAAATCGCCATATCAGCGGAATGACGAAATAAACAAAAATTTCCGAACACAATTTTTTAGAACAACTATTTTACTGTATAAAAATGCTATTTTCATAAATATATCTCAAAACCAGCAGGAACATAACTCAAAAGCGTAACAGTACCGCGATTTAAGATTTTCCTGAATAATTCTTACATTATTTTATTGTTTGTCAATTTTACAACTTTACCATATTTAGCATGCACTGGAGAACATTTGGTGAAAATCGGAATGATTTTGGGCGCGCAGTAGCGCGATTTTCCGCAAAACGCCAAAAAGGGTGTCCTGTAACCTTAAAACCATTAAACAGCAAAAAATATTATTATGCTGTGAATTTAAAGCCATTTTGTACATAGCCTGCGAGCAGGCCCTCCTGGGTTACGGGCGGCGCGAAGAAAGGAGGGCCAGTTTACTGGTTTATGAGTTTCTTATTCAATCAAGAAGTGAAGTTAAGCAAATCGTTTAAAAAAGGGTGCAAGGATCGAACGATACACGTCAGTATAAAATCCATAGACGGATTTTCATATTTTTTACTTGGGTGGTGCCAGAAATTTTAGGGGGTGGTGCCAGAAATTTTAGGGGGGTGAGCCACGAGCAGGTGACTGAAGCAACACAAAGTGTCACCAAACCCCAGTAAGGTCTATATTCTAGGGGTGGAGCACTAGAGCTGCGAGTGGGAGTCTAGAGAGCAGAAAACAAAGTATCCCTGAAAAAAAATCATGATTTCTAGCTTCGAAAAAACGTTTTTTTAAGTTGCAGGCTTTCTGGCATCCTTGTGTAGAAAAGTAGGACAAAAGTAGGACTAGAATTTTAGGAAAAGTAGGAATAAAGTAGGAAAATGTGTAGAAAAGTAGGACAAAAGTAGGAGTTTTGGAGATGCAAATAACACAAAAATATACAAAATTGGCCCCCTAGGATATATGTGGTAAGGGGTAGACCATTAGATATCTGATGGGGGAAGTTGTGTGAATTTTTGGTGCTCAATATTTTTATGTACTCATTCATCTATGCAGGATTTTTTCTCAAAACGTTTAAATTGCATCGGTATAAAAGCTAAGGCATTTGCTCTGCAGCAACACAATTCAAATGCATGTATTGGGTTACACAATGCACCAATCCACACTGCGGTAGAAGCATATATCAGGGCCGTAGGAAGCTCTTTTCGATTGTTGGGGGGCCTGAAAGCATATATATGGCTGAAAGCAAGGGCCAAAGGCCCGAGAAAATTTTTAAATTTAGAGTCTCTGAAATGCCATTTCCTGGACTTTGGGAAAGATTTGACAGAATTCTAATGGTCAGAAAACAGAATTTTAGTATGTCGAAATTTACAATTTAGTAGTACTAAATGGGCGAAGGCGTATTTAATTAACTATATATTGGATAAGTTGCAGGAAAGTATATGGGTAATATCTTCATTCTTCACAGTTCGTCATGGATTAAATAATAAAGGTCTGCATGATTTTGAAAAAAAAATGATTATTAGCAAATTGCTACGGCCCTGTATATATGATGCTTGATTAACTGAGGGGGGAGTTGAATATTTCGAATCTCTAGATTGTCGGAAATGGCACTTTCAGAGTCTTCATTAATTTATTGATTGTGATTCTAGAGATGCTATGAAATTTTATACCAGGAAAATGTACTTCTTTTCTTCCTGAGATCTTATCATGTGAGACACAAATAGCGAATAAAAATTACGAGTCCTATAGATCTAATTACGAGAGCTATAACATACTGATTCCCCAAGCTGTCTTAAAAAAGTAGGATTTTATGAGAAAAAGTAGGAAAAAGTACGAAAATCAAGCAATTTTTAATAAAAAATAGGAAAAGTAGGAATCGAAAGTTGAAGAAAAGTAGGAAAAAGTAGGAAAAGTAGGATGGCAAGAAAGCCTGAAGTTGTCATATCAATGGATTTGGCCTGTCCAATTGTCTGTCGAGACTTGAGAGAGTTAAAGTTAAATGAACCTGTAAAAGTGTAAACCCAATAGGCCAATACACAATGTACTTTTACTTTTATAAAATCATTGACATTGTGTCGTTTGAATCCGAGTACAATTTATGATGCAACTCCGATGTAAGTAATATCTGGGACGTAAAGATTAAATCTAGGCAAGACTATTTCCTAAAAGAATTAAAAACTAAAAATAATGTTCGTAAATTTCCAAACGTTCCTTGCAAGCAAGCTATTTGCATGACAAGGCACTGCAAACTCTATTCAGGGGAGATAATAGAGTTTCAAAACTTTACAATTGGTCCAATAAACCAGTGAATGCAAGTGAGGAGCAATTAGTTTCAGAGTATTGCACTGTCTTTTTCTATTTGAGTGTACTCCTACGTTTATTTTGTATCATCAACACTCTGCACGTTGGAGTGGACTATTTAATTATTTTTTATAATGCCGAATATATTGGGGGGTTGAAATTTTTTTTGGAGGGGTGGACATTTTGTTTGGGGGGGTTATAGCTAATATTGGGGGGGGGTAGCACCCCCCTGCACCCCCCCACAAAATCCGTCTATGATAAAATCGAACTCGGTATCGCAATCAATATTATTTTTGTCTGCAAAGAAACATTTTGCGATGAAATTGAACTGTCCTGATACTGTCAAGAAACTAGACTACATATTGTATACCTCGAAAGATCTGTTAAATAATATAAATCTTGTGAAAATACCTTGTTTTGGGAATTTGTATGCAATACCAAAATCAGACAGCAGTAAATTACCCTTCACATCAACAAGTATATTAGTTGGCTTCAGGTCTCTGTGCAAAATTCTAGGCTCTTTAGCATGTAATGCTTTCAGCCCTTCCAACACTTGACGTATCATCTCTCTAGCACAGGATTCTGTTATTCTTTCGACTTCCTCCTTAATAAATTCTTCCAGATTCTGTTCACATAAGCTTACAATCAAATAACCAAAATCAGGGTTGGAAGTATCATCGTAGGAACAATAATTTACAATTCGTGGCGACTTGACTGCATTCGGAGAATTCAAGATATCTCGTTCATTCTTCAAGAATTTCTTACACAGATGTTTTGGCAAACGTTTTATCGCTCGTTCTATTCCGTCAGTTCCCAAGCAAATATACACTTCTGTGCTTCTGCTGCCCCAGCCTATTGCGAACTCTTCTGCGAAACATACGACATTATCATTTACCATTGTTATCGATTCAGGATCACTTTCCCACACTTTTAAAAGCTGTTTAAACTTCTCCCTATGCTTTACAGAAACTTGCTTCCAATATATGGGTCTTGAGGCTGCGGTTCTTCCAGTTTTCTCATCTTGTGGCTTAAGTTTCTTAGCTTTTTTTTGCTCAGACCTTGTTCTGCCCAATAATAGCTCTCTCTTCAGCGCTGTATGTTGTTTGTACATTGAACCCTTCCTTTCGCGATAAAGCACAGAATAAAGTAAGCGTTCTCTAGTTGCTGACAAATTCAATCACAAAAACCAACATGAGCTCCAAGACGGATTTACTATATGCATAAAATGTCAAAAGCCAGCGAATTTACTAATATCATCAATTCGCGGCACCCACCGTGTGATCACTCAGTATCCTGGGACGAGTAATATATGGTGTCCCATGTCCGCCAAAAATCAACTTTTGCATTTCACTATATGATACTTTGAGGATCATATTCATTTCATTAAAATAACATCATTGTTTTTGAAGATCACCGGTTTATCGGTTGAAAACACGACTTATTTTTTGAAGACCAACTTTTGAAGACCAACTTTTGAAGACCAACTTTTGAAGACCAACTTTTGAAGACCAACTTTTGAAGACCAACTTTTGAAGACCAACTTTTGAACCGCAATCCAATGTCTTTGTTGTTTGCGGGCTCATATTGTCGTGATTTTCTGCTAAAATCATCTCTGTCTGAGGCTAAACTTTTTATATATTCAGTGTTTTATTTAATTTCCTTATCCATTTTGGTGATCGCTAGATAGTATACTTCAAAATAAGGTTTCCGTTTTTATAACATAGAAAAAACTATCCTAACGCAGAACTAAACCCTAATCCTAATACTAACCCTCACCCTAACCCCAACCTAACCCTAAGCTAAACCCTAACCTAACCCTAACTTATTTTAATTATTTTAAAAATTGATATAAAAACGGAAACCTTATTTTGAAGTATACTATCTAGCAATTGCCTATCCATTTTGTGCAGGCTTATGTAAATTCAAGAATATGAATTATTCATATACTGTACAATGTACATGACATGTATTAATAGTTAATTATGATTTATGACTTGGTGTTGGCGGTTCGTATTTTTTAATATTTATGACTGGGGGTGAGCTGGCAAAAAAGGGGTGGGTCATGAGGTATTTTTGACCAAAAAAGGGGGGGGGCACCTAAAAATATTGGTTCAGAAGGGGGTCCAGTTATTTATTATAGTGGTATTATAGTGGAGAAAAGTTTGACATGTAACGATTATTGCTACCACAGGGAGCGACCTTTATTATTTAAATAATATACCTTTAAAATACTAGCAATTAATTTTAAGCGGCTACATTATCCATGCCAAACTGCAAAGAATGAATTTATTTCTCATACTTTCCTGCAACTTCTCCAATTTATAGTTAATTAAATACGCCTTCGCCCATTTAGTGCTGCTAAATTGTAAATGTCGACATACTAAAATGCTGTTTTCTCACCATCAGAATGCTGTCAAATCTTCCTCAAAGTCCAGGAAATGGCATTTCAGAGACTCTAAATTTAAAAATTTCCTCCGGTCTTTGGCCCTCGCTTTCAGATCCCCGATCAAAAAGAGCTTCCTACGGCACTGTAACCCTAACCCTACTCCTAATCCTATACTCCTAACCGATTTTACTCGTCAACGGGGAAGCTCTGCTAGGTATGTCCCGATTGTGCTCGGCAACTTTTGAGCAACTTTTTGCGTTCTTAGTAGCGAAAAATGGTATGACCCCCAGCTTTAGCCTCTTCGGCGCTCTGCAGCTTAATGGGTAAACCAAAAAATCTGACAATGTCTCTAGTTAACCCATTGCACCCCAGTACTTATTTTTTTACTTGTTTAATTAATGCCAGACAAGAAACTCTGCAGCTTAATGGATTAAATAGGCATGCATATTAATTGTTGAAAGCACAAGTAAATGAAAGATCTGATGCCTTTAACAACAAGTTCAAAGAGCTCATTTATATACAGTAATGTACATTTATTATATTGTCGGTGGTGGTGGTGGTGAGAGGGGGGGGGTACTATTTTTTATAATTCATGTGAAGGGGGTCATTGAATTTTTTTGTGATACAGGGGGTGGGGCATGACATGTTCTTTAGTTGTTAATTGAATTTTGCCAGCCCACCCCGGTCATAAATAATGAATGGTCCCTTACTTTTGATCAGGTTAGATTGCAGAATACCCCTCCATTTTCTAACATTACACAGTAAGATGTTGTATTGTTGCCATTTGTTGCTGCAATTTTAGTTGCGATTTTCTCCTTTTGTAGGATGTGAAGGAGTAAATTACATAAACATTTATAACTTTAATATCCACTCCTTCACATCCTCCAAAAGGAGAACATTTCGAGCAGTGGCAGCAGACACCAACTTTTAGGGGGGAGAGCAGGGGGAAAGCTTGTGTAGGTTTTTAATGTCATGTGTACCATTTGGACACCTAAACAGTGCCATAGCAAGCTCGATAATTGGGGGCTGATATTCATATATTTGTGTTGTGTGTTATTTTTATTTCCATTGTTTTTATGGTCTGTGAACACGAATATCAGTCCCCCAATTATCGAGCTTGCTACGGCACTGCTAAAACCTGACTGTGTGTAATATATTAGGATATCTATGTTCTAGGACAATACATTATCTTGTTTTTCTCTGTTTATCAATGGGTCATTCCAGAAAACATCCATACCACCCCCACGGAGGAAATTGGAAGTTAACCCCCCTATCCCCTTCGGATATCCTATTGTCTGGATTGGTGTTCCATTTGTTCCATCAAGATTCATATTTACTAGCAACCATTGTAAAAAATCAAGTTTCAGCATAAGCTCTTGGTAGTCCACATTAGCGTCTCGAGACAAAAACGGTCGATAGAATTTATCACATCAAAAATTGCCTGTAGCAAGTATTTTGTCTTCTTCCTCCATTTTGAAAACATAATAATGAGCCCGCGAACAACAAAGACATTGGATTGCGGTTGGTTATCAAAAGTTGGTCTTCAAAAGTTGAGCAGCTGGGAAATTTGTTGCGCATGCGCCAGATTTCCATTGAAACTTGAAGATTTCCCCGAAGAAATAACGAGATGTTCGTGGTTGTTGTATATTTTTGAATGCCTGTTTAATCTTTATAATTTTTTTGCTCGAGACAAAGACAAAGTAAAATCTGCTCTACGTTTCCAGTGTATAGAATATCTCGTTTGTGTTTGAACAGCAATAGAATATATAAACTTGACACAAACAAGAAGGCATTTAACACGCTAAATCTGCAGTCATGCCTGCCAATCGTCGCAAGCTTGACAGCCTTGTCAAACGCAAAACAAGTACGAATTTGGGTTCAAACAGAAAGAAGTTCAATGTTAATACCACTAACATAAATTCTATAGAAATACGGGTGGTTTAAAATGTTTTCAATTGAATTTTCAAAGCTTTTATCTACCGACATCATAATCAAACTGTGAACATGCCGGCTTTTGTTGAGGCTTGCGAATGCAAAGTACCTTACCGTAAACAGAGCATTTCTACACAAAACTCTCGCTTAGTCTTCTAATGCACTTGTATGTTCGGTTCTACTAGTTAAACAAGGAAAATATCCAAGAAACACTGGTAAATTATCGTTGTCAAAAAACATTTCAGTGCTGAGGCAGTACAAGGTCTCAAGGGCAAGGTCAAGTTGTCGATTTCATTACATTTTACAGTACTTCGAATGTTTTCGAACTCTTATCTCATACAAGAGCAGTAAACGCACGCATTTCAAAGCGAAATTAGACGCAAAGGGGCAATTTTTCAACAAAATTCATTGTTAAATTATGTTTCCTATGTGCCTTGGGAGCAAAAAAATATGATTTTAAATTTGGAGATTTCGGTAAATTTTTTTGCAATTTGGCCTGGTATTGCACCCTACCTATGTACTAACTGTGCTGTAAAAGTAATCAAATATACTATTTTTAATTTCCTTTCTTTGAAAGGTTCTACTATTGTGGACTAAACTAAATTTTAATCAGCATACAAGGCTGCAAACAACAGCCAAGAATTAGCTGGGTAGTTTGCAAACTTTAAAAATAATTGGACCTCAAACTTTGATCTCCAGAAGTAAACAAACAGACAATACTGCGAACATAATCCAAGTTTTGATCACGAGGGGCAATTTTTAGATGTAAAAATACTTGTTTAAATTACACATCAAACTAAGGCAAAACAAAATTTGGTGTTAATTTTTCGGTGAAATCGTCAAAGTTTTTTGCTATCCGCCCACGCTTCTACACCCCCCTCTCCCAGGATATTCTACCTCATAAAACAGTTTTCTACAGAAACTATGCTTTTTTATCGGAAAAATGTTTACTTTTCTCAAAAAATACATTATAAACACAGAAACCTTAAATATTTAAATAATTTTCATACCTTTTTGGGATTGCAAAAAGCAAAATTTGTTTCATTATCCCACTTTTTAAAATATATGTGACAAAGTTGCTTCAAAATCACCATCACGCAGTAGCATGTTTATTTACCCTCATCCTTTTGACTGAATAAAGTTTATCGTTTTGAAAGGCTATTTGTTTTATAGCTCTTGGTTACTGGTTTACGTTTATGTCGATTTTGGCACCCATGAGACCAACAAGTTGTGGTAATCCGCGAATGAAAATGGATATTCGAAGAGCACAAAAGCCAACTCCTAGCTATGTAAATTTATCGCCTGAATTTTGAATCAATCCAAAATTAAAATGCTGATAATGTAGATGCTTTCCATACTTGAGATGTTGGTGAAGTTTTTCCTACAATTTAATTTTCTTGATCGCCGTCTTAAAAATGCAAAATCATCAGTTGAAATTTCACTCGTGTTGTTTTTTCAAATTTTCGAATTTTTGTAAAATATCGCGTGCGCCAGCAATTTCTCTGCACAGCGACAACAAATTTCCCAGTTGCTCAAAAGTTGGTCTTCAAAAAATAAGTTGTGTTTTCAACCGATAAACCGGTGATCTTCAAAAACAATGTTGTTATTTTAATGAAATGAATATGATCCTCAAAATATATCATATAGTGAAATGCAAAAGTTGATTTTTGGCGGACATGGGACACCAGACAGAGCCTTTGGATGTCAACGCAATTAATATAACGTTTCGCGTCTGAGGTTGCAGTCAAAAGAAAGATGGAATTATCGGCCACGTAACAGAAATTGAGGCGATTAGACGAAAAGGTATGTTTCGCATTTGTTTATTGTATATTTGTACGAAAAAAGGGATAATATATTGATATGTTTTAAAAAGCAGGCGACTTGTGTTGTTGATTTGAATATTGTAAACATTCTTGAGCGCTCAAGAGCTATACCGGTAATACCTATAGCGGCCTATAGCTACAAGCCCTTTAATTAACCCTATATTTTCGAATTGGGAGGGTTTAAAACAAGCGAAATATGTTTAAAATTACGAACAATGATGTGTTGTATATTATATTTCCACATTGACAGTTGTCACACAGATATAAGTAGATTGACTAGACAATATGATATGACTATCAAAGATTTTGTGGTCCATGTTCCACAGGTAGTGTGGTAGTGTTCCACATGTTCCACATGTGGCTGTATCCTTGGTATATAAAAACATAAGCCTCACATGGGTGGTTTTCTTTGCTACTTTCAGAACTTAACTCATTAAGCGCCAGTGTTCTCCCCTTGACATGTAAAATCGTCTGCCGTTAGACAGAGTAAAATAATAAAGTAGGGCGCATCAGGGCACACTGCGACTCAATGGGTTAACTAGACACATAGACATATAAGCTTGTTAACCATTAAGCGCCAGCACTCTCCGTTGACAAGTTAACTTGTCTGCCATTAGATGGATACTGACAGAGTAAAATAATAACATAGGGTGCAATGTGACTCATTTGCACTAACTAGACACAACTTTTTGACATATAGGGTAGTTAATCATTAAGCCGTTTAAGCTCCAGCGCTCTCCCCTTGACAAGTAAAATCGTCTGCCGTTAGACAGAGTAAAACAATAAAGTAGGGCACAATGCGACTCAATGGGTTAACTAGACAAGTTAACTTGTCTGCCATTAGATAAAGACTGACAGAGTAAAATAATAACATAGGGTGCCATGTGACTCAATGCATTAACTAGACACATAGACATATAGGCTAGTTAACCAATTAAGCTACGCCATTTCCCCTGGACAAGTAAAATCGTCTGGTGTTAGACAATGAAAGTAAAATAATAAAGTAGGGTCCATCAGGGCACAATGCGACTCAATGAGGTCATAGATCGCTGAAACTAAATCAAGTCTGTGCACAAATACAACATCTAGGCCATGCTGCCAGCTGTGCCTGTGGTTTACCTGAATTTGCAAGCAATTATAGGTTGGTTTCAATATTTAAAAGATTTTTCTAACTTCAAAGTTAAAAAAACTTTACATTTATAAAGTAACAGAGTTTACATTGTCAGAATTGCATGCTATGTGCTGAAATGTAACACTGAGCCAGTTCCCTCAAAGATTTCTTACAAATCCCTCAAAACTTAGAATTTACCTGTGGAACATGGACCACAAAATCTTTGATAGTCATATCACATTTACATTCACATTCACATCACTCGACAGCAAATTGAAGCACCAACTATCAGTAATGCGAGAAGACCAAAATAGTTTCAAAAATGAAATGGAAGAGAAATTAAAAAAAGCAGAAACAGAAGTGAAACGGCTCCAAGGTCGGGTCGGGTCACTTGTGGAAGAGAAAACCAATCTGTTGAAGCGGATAAAAAGCTTAGAAATTGACAATAAAACATTTGAAGACGAAGTAAGTTCGCTAAATACAGCTATAAAAGTAAACTATAATGATGATATCAACACAAATCCAACGTTAATACAGTGTGAAAATTCAGTTGTTGACTCAACCAAAGAAGCTAATCCAGACGCTGCTGCTAATAATTCTCCCAATATCACTGCTGCCGAAAACCCTGACACCGAAACTCCCAACGTTAAAATTCCGGACAATGGAAATGCTACCAATCATGACGAATATGACTTTGTCATGTTATGTGACTCGAACAGGAAATTCTTAAACATAAGTAAGCTGTGTTCGAGTAGACATAGCAAAATCATTCCCTGTAATACAACAAAAAAGGCCAAAGAAATTGTAGAGTCTCCCAGATTTGATGTCAAAAAAGGAATCATCATAAACACTGGAGTCAATGACCTTGAGAACCTATCTGCAGGAGAGATTGTAAAATCCCAAGTTCAAATGGCAAATATGGCGGCAAAAAGATTTCCGGGAAGACAAATTTTTCTATGTGGTATCACCCCAAGAGGAGATGAGTTAGATAGAAAAATCCCTGACATTAATGATGACATTGATGAGGAGATCAAAGATATCCCCAATGTTAGCCACGTATATAATGGGAATCTACGTAATGGCAAACTGTACTTTGATGTCAAACATTTGAATAGAAGATTTGGTATCCCCGCTTTGGCAAAGAACATCAAGAATGAGTTGCGTAAGATTTTCGGGGGTAACAGAAAGGAAAACACCAGCACCCAACAAAAGAGTGTACCTCAAAACCAGGAGGGAAGTCACCACAGTAATGCAGGTCAAGTTCAAAACTTCGATAAGGAGTTGGGGAGGAGTCCGCAGGAAGATACACAGAATGCAGTATTTCTACCAACGATGACTGGCATTCAGGATGAACTTAAACAGGTATCAAACTTATTGAACCAGTTAATTCAAAGCAACATTAGTACGAACCATCAGCGGATGCAATACCAACGGGTAATGTATCCACAAGTTACTATTCCTCCTCAATTTACCAATAATTATAGATTTATTTAGCATACATATACATATACTAGACTAGGTTTGCTATCTTATTCAACTGATGGCAAAGCATTTCCTAAAGTTTGCAAGTTGGAATATTGAAGGTTTATTAAGTAAAATCGATGACTCAGAATTTATTTCAAAGCTACATAAATTTGATTTAGTCTCTTTAGTTGAAACGTGGTTGCCCCATGAAAAATGCAATATTAATATCGATGGTTTTCATTCATTTTCAAAATGTAGAAAAACGGTTTCTCAAAATTCGCGTAGAAGTTCTGGTGGTATAACTATTCTTGTTAAGTCAACTCTTAAAAAAGGGATAAAGTTTTTAGACAAGGAAAGTAGTGAAGAGTTTGTTTGGTATAAATTGGACAAAACGTTCTTTAATCTCAAACATGATATTTTCATTTGCACTGTATACATTCCACCACAGAATTCATCACGTGAATCACGATTAAATACTGATCATTTCGAAAACCTCCAAAATAATATTTATAAGTTTGCAAGCAAGGGCAATATCATTTTGTGTGGAGATTTTAATGCTAGAATAGGTGTTGTAGAAGATTTTGTTGACAATAAGTTCTTGGAAGATGATAAATATATCACTCCATCATTAGACCAGCGATATTCAAAAGATCACCATGTTAATGCTTATGGGAAATCCCTTATTGATCTATGTATTGGCAATGGTATGGCTGTTTTAAATGGAAGAACAAACGGTGATCTCCTTGGGCAATTTACCTGTCAGACCTACAACGGGGCAAGTGTGGTTGACTATGTTGTTATCTCGCACAGCTTGCTCTCATTTGTTGTAGGCTTTAATGTTGAAGATATCACTGAATTTTCTCATCATTCATGTCTGTCTTTTATACTACAGATTAAATATCCACAAAACTCAGGTGATACTTTCAAATTAACCCCTCATATTAAATCTTTTATTTGGAATGAAAGTCAAAAGGATGCTCTAAGAGAATGCATGAGTTCGAACGAAGTAGAAAATAAATTAGAATCTCTATTTTTCCAACATAAAGGTGTATCTAGTGATGAAGCAACCTACACAGATATACTTGTAGCTAATTTCTCAGAAATTTTGTCCGATACCTCACAAAAAGTTCTAAATACTAAGAGGCAAAAGAAAAAGATCAAAAAAGGTAATACCAAAATGAGACAGGAATGGTATGACGGAAATTGTCACAATCTGAAAAAGAACTTGAGAAATTTAGGTAGTCTACTCTCGAAATTTCCCAACGACATTTACTTACGTCATCTCTTTTTTGCAAAAAAGAAGGAATATAAACGTACAGTTAAAAACAAAAAAGACAATTTCATAATTCTATACTGAATAAAATTGAATTATTATCAGAAAACAATCCTAAAGATTTCTGGAAACTCGTTAACTCCATAAAAGCTCAAAAACCTAGAACTTCACACGAAATTCTACCATCTGAATGGTTTGATTATTTCAAAAACTTGAACAAAATAAATATCAATACTGAAGTAGCAAGCAGTGAAGCACAAATCATAAAAGATTTTAATATCTGGGCATTAGGTACAAATGATACTCTTGACAGACCAGTATCACTGGAAGAAGTGTACAAATTATCAAAAAGATTAAAGAACAAGAAAGCCAGTGCCAATGACTCGTTGTCCAATGAGATCATTAAACTAGCAGTTGCGGTTATGCCATCCTACTTTGACAAACTGTTTAATAAAATCTTGTCCAATGGACACTTCCCATCACTTTGGTCTAAAGGTTTTATAGTCCCCATTTATAAATCAGGAAGTAATATCGACCCGAATAATTATAGAGGAATATGCATAAGCAGTTGTTTGGGAAAATTTTTCACATTAATCATGAATGAACGACTAAATAAATATTTAGACGAAAACAACATTATGAGTAATTGCCAAATCGGATTTAGAAAAAATTATAGGACAGCCGACCATCTATTAGTTTTGAAAACTCTAATAGATTATTACAAATCAAAACGTAAACCAATCTTTGCTTGTTTTATTGACTTCAAAAAAGCTTACGATAGGGTATGGAGGGAGGGTCTTTTCTTCAAATTGATCTTGAATGGTTGCAGCAAGAGATTCATACGTTTAATGTTAAGCATGTATTCCTCCTATGACTGTTCGGTAAAATTGGAAGAGGGGTATACAACTTTCTTTAGGTCACATGTAGGAGTCAAACAGGGTTGTAACTTAAGTCCTACTTTATTCAACCTATTCATTAATGAT